TCTCCCCTTCTTCTCTTCTCTCTCCCAACGGGTCACCTCCGTGTCCCCCCCATTGAGCCGGCACGCATCCATTGCGCTTACCTTGCTGAGTACGATAACAAGATGAATTATGATTTATCAGTGATATTTCAGTTATCATTGCCTTTCCTAAAACTATCGTCTTAATGATCATTGTTGATGCATTCACATTATCATTTGTATCGTCACCATTATCATTAACATGGCTCATAAGATGTTATATATTAACGGATATTAAGGAAATACTGAAGAAGCTGAAGAAGCGTGCCTGCATCGTTATGCTCACACGACGATCGACAGTCAGAATTGGTGTTCTTGGTCGGGGCGAATCTGAGAGAACCTGCGAAGGGAAATCAGCATTTGGAACAGCGTTGGGGGAATGCTGGGCAGCCAGCATGTCTTAAGCGGTGCAGAAGATCGAAATCCCAATGGTTATCAAAATGAAGAGAGTAGTTCACAGAGCCTAATAGCACTACTAAAGCTACTAATTACGATAACAGTTGCAACAACAATAACATCAAAATAAGAACAATGATAACATACGCATGCGTCCTATGAATAAATGATCCAAAGATTTCTAAAACACCAAGACAATAACAACAAAGGTGGCGTCAAATGCTCTCCGGGATGAAGGTCTGTGCGCCGTAAATTATTCCGTAAATTACATTTATATTTCATTACTAAGCCCCGTTTTGCAAAATTTGGATATAGCAAGATGGAAGCAAGTGATGGTGGTAATACTTATTAATGATATCATGTTTATTGCTATAACCTTTGTTGGTGATTTCATATTTGTCCATCATTATTAACAATGTTTTGTCAATACAATTGCTTCTAATCTCTTTATTATATAATATGATATACCTATATATATATATATATATATATATATATATATATATATATATATATATATATATATATATACATACATATATATATATATGTATATATATAATATATATATATAATATATATATATATATATATATATATATATATATATATATATATATATATATATATATATATATATATATATATATATGTATATATATATATGTACATATATATACATATATATACATGCATATATATATATATATATATATATATATATATATATATATATATATATATATATATATTTCTTAAAGTTATGATTTTTTTGATAAATGAAAGAATTATCTTTCTTTTCTTCTGCCAGCCTGTCTCTCCTGTTTCCTGTTTCCATATCAGTTTAATATCTATATGCATACATATATCGAATTTTAATGTTTACCTATCTTTCTATCCATCTTATTATCGCTATTTTCGCGTTTCTTTCTTGGATATTTATGTCGCTGATGTATTGTAATTTTTGCATTTTTACTATTATCTTAGTTTTGACTATCATTATCATTAATTCCATTGCTATCCGCCAGCTGAAAGTTATATCATCTGTATTTTCATTATTGATGTAATTAAGGTGATTGCTGTCATTATCATCGCTACCGTTTCCATTTCCAAAGCTGTTCCTTCACTGATATACTTAATAAATCTATCTCCATCTTACTTTCTTTCCTTTTCGTTATCTGTCTCTATGTCTATCAAATCTCATGTTTCGATTCATCACTTCATCAACTATTTGCATATCTTATTAAAATCAAATTTTTAATGTTTACCTCTCTATCTATCGATTGATTCACCCATGTTTCTTCCCCTTTTTTCTTTTCCATATTTTATTCCGTTATTTATCTTCCGTTTCCGTTTTCTTCTTGGTTATTTATGTCGCTGATGTATTGTAATTCTTGTACTTTTACTGTTATCTTCGTTATGCCTATTATCATTAGTTTCATAGGAACGCCACTAAGGCTAATATCTGTATTTTCATTAATGAGGTAATTAAGGAGATTGCTATCATTATCATTATGGGAAACGGCCTCACGAGACCCACACTTGGTAACAAAACATGATGTAGAAGCAGGATCAAAGGGCTGGGGGTTGTTGACTGAAACAGTGCTGACCTGGCAGTGCCACGTAGTGGCCTTTATTGCAACGAGTATTCATACATAAAAATATATGTGGAAAATAAGTACCTTTTCTCTGATATAAAACTACATTAAAATATAGTATTTCTCTAATTCAAATTCAGAAAAATATGTATTCTACTCAACAAAAATATAGATATTCTATAACGAAGAAATAAAAACAAAGGAACTGAGGGTAAACACAGAAAACGTAATGTTCTGAGCATCAAGGGGTAACTAACATATTTAACATACTCCCCACCATAGGAGTACTTACTCCTATCATAGACTAAATGTACTTAAATGAGGTAATAAAATCCTGAGAAATAGTAGTAGGACAGATTTCTCCTTGGAAATTGCTTCAGTAAACTCATTTATACTATAAGACTCACAAACTTATCTTAATTTCAACCTTAAGAAATAAGAACAACTAAACTAATTACAGCATATTATTACAAGTCAAGTTTATTTGGGGGTTTTATGGCACGACCCCGCTGACTAAAGGAAGTAGGGTTTAAACAACTCTCTTTACAAGGTTCAGAGGCACTATTTTCATTGTTTCCAGGAACTGATGATTTAACAATTTCCCCTGAGATAGATTCTCTCAAATCTTCATCAGAATCTTCATAAAGATCACTATACATTTCAAGATCATGCAACTTCTGCACTGGTCTATTAATTACTCCTTTGTCAGTTTTTACCATGACACTCCTAATGATATTATCATTACCTGGGAATACTTCTGTTACAACACCTAATGGCCATTTTAGCCTAGGAACATAGTCTTCTCTGACAAGGACAATAGCACCTTTCTTTACATTACATTTTTGCACAAATCCCTTCACAACAGGTGGCAAGTTTCTTAGATAATCATTGCTCCATAATTTCCAAAACTTATCAAGTTGTTGCTGGCGAATACTTTCTCGGATAATCAAATCCTTTCCGGTGATACATGAAGGTTGATCATTAACCTCGAGTTGAAGTCCAGCATTACGTCCAATGAGAAATTGTGAGGGAGTCAAAGGATTAGAAACATCAGGTTCATCTCCAACATATGTTAAGGGTCTAGAATTCACACAAGCCTCAATTTCTTGAATGGTGGTCTCTAACTCAATTTTTGACAAACATTTAACCCCTATTGTCTTCCTCAAAGCTGACTTAACAGACCTAATCAAACGCTCCCACCAACCTCCCCACCATGGAGAACGGGGAACAATGAATTTCCATTGAGGAGACAATGGTCCATATTCTTGCTGAAGTTGACGAGCTGCACTCACAAATGTTTTGGCATTATCTGAGTAAAAAAACAGAAGGAAGACCTCTTCGTGCTGCAAATCTACGTATTGCAAGCATGCAATCAGAAAGAGATAATGAATCAGTTAGTTCTAGGTGCACTGCTCTTACTACTGCACAAGTAAACAACAAAATGTACAATTTCTTTGACGGCAAATCAATACAAAAGAGAGGACCAGCATAATCAAGACCTGTCACAGTGAAGGGAGGAGCAATCTTAACTCTTAATCCTGGTAGAGGTGCAGCAGGCTGACTACAAGCCTAGAATCATACCTCTTACACTTAACACACATTCTACAAACAGTTTTAGCAATTCTCCTGACTCCCAAAATCCAGTAGCTGCCTCTTAAAGTAGACACAATGGTCCCTACTCCAGCATGCTTCAGAAAAATATGCTGAAATTGAACCAAGAGCTTAGCAACATGACCTGAAGGAATAATAACAGGATGTTTACTTTCAAAACTTAAATCAGCATTCTCCAAACGTCCCTTAATTCTCAATAGGCCTTCATCATCTACAAAAGGATCTAAACTACACAAAGGAGAACCCTTTGAAGGAGATTTACCCTTTTTCAAGTCTGCAATTTCCTGAACAAAATTCTCTCTCTGTACACAGTAGAACAATTTGGTCTTGGCCACTGCTAACTCAGCAGGAGACAAGGGACCTGACATCTTCACAGAATGAGGTCGGACATTATTAATAAATCTCATAACCCAAGCCACCACACAACGTGCCTTATTGAAGTTACTCCATCTCTCAAACTCAAATATGTTAGGAGAGTTTACAGATACACAAGAAATATTTCCTTTACTGCAACTTTCTTCAACAGGTAACTCTACAGTTTCTCCTTTATCACTTAGAGTTAAAGGTTCAGACAACCAAGAAGGGCCATTTATCCATAAAGTAGAATTAACAAGGGGTTCGGCTAACTCCCCTCTAGACACAAGATCAACAGGATTTTCTTTACCTGGACAATGGTACCAGTGGCATGGGGAGGTAAGACTCTGAATTTCAACAACTCTATTTGACACAACACCTTCCATCTACAAGGATTACCCTTTATCCATGCAAGAGCAACCTTTGAGTCTGTCCAACAACAATAAGTCACAGTCTTATCGAGACAGAGGGCAGACTTCACAAAATCTAAGAGTCTAGCACAAAGTAAAGCACCAAGCAATTCTAGTCGAGGTAAAGTGACCCTCTTATAGGTGCTACCCTTGACCTTGCTACCACTAATGACACCTGGTATGTTCCATCCACAAGAGGAACTCTCAAGTACACGCAAGCTCCATACCCTTTCTCTGAAGCATCACCAAAGGCATGGAGTTCTACACCAGACAACTCTTTCCAGGACATTTCTGGGAAATAGCAACGATTAATCTTCCAATATTTTAGAGCAGCAATGCTCTTAACCCAATTCTGAAACTTATTTTGCACCTCTTTAGGTAGTAACTCATCCCAATCAAGCCCAAGTCTCCATATGTCTTGAAAGAGGATTTTAGCATACATGACAAAGGGACTAATCAAACCAAGTGGGTCAAAAAGCCTGGCTATGAGACTAAGAATTGCTCTTTTGGTTGACACCAAATGTGTCTCCAGGTCTAAATCAATACCTTTAAAAACAAACTGATCTGACAAGGATAACCACTTCATACCTAAAACCTTTGTGGATTCATGTTCATCACCATGATCAATTTTATCATTAAACTTTGTGGCAAACAATTTACAATTTGAGTGCCATTTAGAAAGAGGGAACCCAGCTTCAGCCAAAATACTTTGAGCTTCTTTAAACTTCTCACAAGCTTCCTCAGCAGTGTCCGCCCCTGACAGCCAATCATCTACGTAAAGGTTTTCCTTTAACTCTTTTACTACTTCAGTATCAGGATAAGACTGTAAGTGGTATTTAATGGTGGCATTTAGCAAAAAAGGGCTACTTGTATTACCAAAGGGAACACGAACAAACCTCATCATTCTAATGGAGTCTTTGCATTTCCACAAAAAGCGATGAACATCTCGGTCTTCTGGCCGAACACAAATCTGCAAGAATGCCTTTGTAATATCAGCAGTCAATGCAACCTTCCACTTTCTGAAACGAACCAATACTTTCACAAGATCAGCGTTAAGTGAAGGACCAGACTCAAGACAATCATTTAAAGAAGTGCCATTATAACTAGTTGCAGAAGCATCAAAAACTGGTCTGACCTTAGTTGAAGAACTACTCTCTTTGACAACTGGACGATGAGGCATATAATATGTAGGCTGAGAACTTACAACTTCACTTGAAGGGACTTCTTCAATTATTCCCTCTTGTTCATAATCAGTAAACACGTTAGAATATTGTTTCTGAAGCTCTGGGTCCTTATCTAACTTACGCCCTAATCCTTGCAACCTTTTCCTAGCAATTCCCTCATTATTCATAAGATTCTTCTTGCAGTCATCCGACTTCCAAGGTAAGCCTACTTCATAGCGTCCCTCTTCAAACTTAACATTTTCACAAAATTGCTTCAAAACAGGGTCTGAGGTAAATGGGCTAGGAACAGCTTCCTTTTGAGTTATGCCAACAGATTCTAAATCCCAAAACTCACGTAAATCAGAATCTGTCACATTTCCTATACACAACATTTGTGTAGACTCACAGTTGCTGATAGTAGGAACCTTCCATGAACCAGATAACACCCAACCAAATACAGACTTTTGGGCTACTAATCCATTACTCTGATGTGGCTTAATTTCAGGATCCATAAATCCCCAATAAGCATCCAAACCTACAAGTATGTCTATATTCAGGTGACTATTATTCTTGTAATCATCAGCAAGTTGAAAATCAGAAAATGCATCAACCAAATTACTAGGAATACAGGGTCTAGTCAATGGTGCACAAACCTTTGGAATCTCTAAAGCCATTAAATGTTTGCACCATGTAAACCTACTAATTGCAAGTCAAAATATTACTCTGTTTTACCTGGAGGAGACTTACTACCTCCAAAAGCAGCATATGACACAGGTTCTGAGCTCACCCACTTGGGCTTAACTTTCTTCACAAGATTACTGGACACATAAGATCTATCAGAGCCTGTATCAAACAACAAGGTGGCTTCACAACAAGCACCTGACTCGCCAAACACTTTAACTCTAGCTGTCTGTAGCACACAGCTAGTCTTCGTCAACACATTACACTTGCTAAGAGTCACACCAACATGATTCACTTGGGGACTGCAATTTTCAGAAGGTTCTACAATATCACTAACCTTCTGATCACTCACACTTTTTTCCATAGCCTTTTCTGTGCTTCCTGCGCCCTTTGATCTACACAGAAGAAAATTATGATTGCCATTACACTTAGAACACTTGCTTTGACAACCACTGGAAATATGCCCCTTACTCAAACACTTGAAACACAAATGGGCAGCTTTGATTTTTTCTTCACGTTCCTTCAAAGGGAGCTTCAGGATATCCCAGCACTTCTCAGACTTGTGTTTCTTGCTGCAGAAAGCACAATAAGAAGATCCTACTTCAGATGAGGTGTGAAGAGCCGATGCAGAAGCCACTCTTCTTTTCTCCGAGTCCACAAATCGTCGTTCAGGCTTCCCCATCCCAACGTCCGGGAAAGTTTCAGATCTCTCTCGACGGCTTATCTCCTTCTGCAGGAACGTCAGCAGCCATTCCAGGTCACCTTCATGATTTGTAGATTCCCTTGACCATTCCAATCTTATCTCTTGAGGCAGACGACCCAAGACCAATGGAGTTAACACCACGCCAAATTGTTTATTATTAATGCCAAAGCTCTCCAAACTTCTTACATGCCAATGGAGCTGGTCTAGAAGATTCCACAGCGATTCAACATAATTTGCTCCTCTTATTTTAGGAGCTACAGAGATATTCATTAGTGCATGAATATGTGCATTTATGATTATTTGAGGTCGGCCAAATCTGTTCTTCAATATATCACATGCAACCTTGTAATTTGGAACAGTGAGTGTTACTCCTCGGATGGCAGACAATGCTTTTCCTTGTAACACTGATTGTAAATAAGTGAACTTAGTAATAACAGGTATGTCAGTCCTGTCTATTGAGGCTGTAAATCTATCCCAAAATGACTGCCATTGGGTCAGATCACCATCATATTTGGGAAGCTCTAGCTTTGGCAGCTTTGCATCTGAGGTGCTCATACTGGAGACAGAGCCTTTGTCACTGTCACTGCCATCATTAGCTCTCTTCATTCGCATGGTGACCTCAAATCTAACATTTGTTGCAGCTTTGCGAAAATTACTTGCTTCATCAAGGTCTGCATCTAAATCATCAGGATTAACAAGTTCTACTTCAACAGCTGTCTGCGCCTCATCCAACAATATTAGCCTCTTATCAAATTCAGCAGCAACTTGATCTAACTTCTCATAATTACTGTTGTTATCATTTAAAACCTCCTGGAGGTTCTGTACAGCTCTTGTCAACCAACCTCTTGATGCAGCCCTTTTCCTCTTCAATGCTTCAAGTGACTCTGCCATGTTTGTTACCTTACTTGTCCGGGCGACGACTCTATATCTAAAGCTTCCCGGGTCTGGGCACCAAAAATTTGGGAAACGGCCTCACGAGACCCACACTTGGTAACAAAACATGATGTAGAAGCAGGATCAAAGGGCTGGGGGTTGTTGACTGAAACAGTGCTGACCTGGCAGTGCCACGTAGTGGCCTTTATTGCAACGAGTATTCATACATAAAAATATATGTGGAAAATAAGTACCTTTTCTCTGATATAAAACTACATTAAAATATAGTATTTCTCTAATTCAAATTCAGAAAAATATGTATTCTACTCAACAAAAATATAGATATTCTATAACGAAGAAATAAAAACAAAGGAACTGAGGGTAAACACAGAAAACGTAATGTTCTGAGCATTAGGGGTAACTAACATATTTAACAATAATAATCATAGAGTCCATTTATAAGGAAATAAGGCTAAAAACTAATAAAATTCCAAAAGTCGAAAAAAAACGGCAAAATCTAGCGTATTACAGCCTTTTGAGAGAAAGGTCGAAAAAAACGTTTTTCGCTTTTAATGATAATTATGATTTTAGCATGCATTCAGGTAATATAATGATTTTCATGATAATGCCCTCATTAATACCAATAATAATGATAATTATGATGATAATGAAAATAATAAATGATAATAATAATAATAATAATTATATTGATAATTTTGATAATTACTGCAATAATAGCAATAATGAACTCTATTCTAATAATTTTTATACCAATAATGACAGTAGAAATAATAATGATATCATAATTCTTGTTATTGTCATTATTAATTCTATAAATATAATTATTGTTATTATCATTATAAAAATAGTTATAATGAAAATGACCGTAATAATTAGCATAATAATCATTAAAACTGAGAGAATGATAATGATAGTCATGACGATAATGACTATAATGATGATAATCATAAGAATAATGACAATAATGATGATAATTATGCTAATAATAATCATAGAGTCCATTTATAATGAAATAAAGGCTAAAACTAAAAGTCGAAAAAACGGCAGAATCTGCAGCCTTTTGAGAGAAAAGTCGAAAAAAAAACATTTTCGCTTTTAAATGATAATTATGATGAATTTATCAGAAATTCAGGTAATTATTATGATTTTCATGATAATGCCTTTATTATTAACTATAACGATGATAATTATGATGATAATGACAATAATAATGATGATAATAATAATAAAATGGTAATTATAATGATAATTTTGATAATTACTGCAATATAGCAATAATGCTAAAATAATGGCAATAGAAATAATAATAATATCATGTTATTGTTATTATAGTGATTATTTATGTCATTATTATTTCTAGAATTATTATTAATATTATTATTATAAAAAATAGTTTTAAGGATGAAAATGACAGTAATAATTAGCATAATAATTATTATGATATCAATATTGATTATGATAATAATGATAATCATGACGATAATGACAATAATGATGATAGTCATAAGAATAATGACAATAATGATGATAATGATGATAATAATAATCATAGAGTCCATTTATAATGAAATAAAGGCTAAAACTAATAAAATTCCAAAAGTCGAAAAAACGGGAAAATCTAGCGTATTACAGCCTTATGAGAGAAAGGTCGAAAAAACCTTTTTCGCATTTAAATGATAATTATGATGATTTTATCATAAATTCAGGTAATTATGATAATGCCTTTATTAATAACAATAATGATGATAATGACAATAATAATGATAATAATAATAAAATGAGGGTTATAATGATAATTTTGATAATTACTGCAATAATAGCAATATTGTACTCTATTCTAATAATTTTCATACTAATAATGACAATAGAAGTAATAATAATATTATTATTGTTATTATAATGAGTATTATTGTCATATTATTTTTAAAAGTATCATTATTGATATTAGCATTATAAAAATAGTTATAATGATAAAAATGACAGTAATAATTAGCATAATAATCATTATAACTGCAATAATGATAATGATAATAATGATTATCATGACGATAATGACTATAATGATGATAATCATAAGAATAATGACTATAATGATGATAATAATAATAAAATGAGTATCATAATGATACTTTTGATCATTACTGCAATAATTGCAATAATGACCTCTATTTTAATAATTTGCATTCTAATAATGACAATAGAAATAATAATATCATTATTATTTTTATTATAATGAGTATTAAGAATTCTATGATCTTGCTTTTTTCTTCGAAACACGTCCACGCAGACGCTCAGCCTACGCTATCTCCCTCTTCACATCTACACACCTACACATCCAACATTTAGTACATGCATCCTGTACTTTCCTTCCACCCTTTTCTTACACAACGCCTACACCCACTTACACAACACACACGGTTTCCGAACCTACTAATCGGGTGGTGGCAGCATGCCGTAGGCTTGGAACCCTACATCTGTTCATTGCAGACGAATCTTTTCCCTTGAGCAAAATCTCCATATTCTCGGTTGAGCCCGGACTCAACCAGACAACTTAAGTCTACTGGGTCTACATCCCGCTACAACTGTCTTTTTGGTAGGCAGCGGTGGGAGAGAAGAGTTATTCTTTTTTATAAAGTGTCTGGTCAAGCCTTTGTGCAAGTCTATCGTAAGCTAAGTAACGGGTTGTAGAGCAAGTGCTGGGACGCAAAAATGCCTTGCACACGCAATACCGTCCAAGGAAAACCCACTAATGAGTGCTCGGGATCCTCTGCTAACACCCTTTTTGAGGGCCCCGAGTTTCATCGAGGAGATAACGCTCAATCTTTGACTTTGGGGCAAAGGCTAGAGCCCCGTGACCACCTCTCGCTCTCGAAGTATGGGGAGCTGGTGGACAAATTCGAACGGCTGAATTCTCGGTTCAGTACCCTGGAAAGGCAGTACGCCAATATCGTGCGATTACTGGAGCCCAGGGCATCTGAACCGTACACTCGTTCACCAGCTGCAGCCTCTGCATCGTAGGTAGAAGTGGGGGTGCATGCGGTCACGACTGACCACTCATCTCAGCGAGCGCCCATCAACCCGCGTCCCTTAGATCAAGGTATAACCCTGCATGGCCCGATTCCGCCTTACCGGGCAGAGGTCCCAGCTAGCCAGCCTCTTCGGAGGAATCAGGAATTGGAAATATGGTTGCGGCACATTGAGCAAGCCCATCCTTATGGCACGAATGAGGCTCTGATCCGCGCCGCCCGTGGTAGCTGTAGGGGGACGGCGGATATAGTCGTTAACTCCCCAGTTTTTGACGGGATTGGGACCTGGGACGAGTTTAAGGAAACCCTTCGACAACGTCTCCGGGGGACGTGCTCGTCGAAGGAGTACCTACGGCATTTGGGGTCGTACGTACTCGGCGACACTTCCCCTAGGGACTTCTATCTCGCGATCGAGACCGTAGTATACCAAGGCATGCGCGACTATCCTGGTGAACTTGGGCCAGCTGAACCTCTGATGAGGACTTTTCTCCAAGGACTCCCGCTCTGGCTGAGGGAAAAGCTCGTGTTGATAGAGGATCAGCCACTTTACCGGATGGTCGAAGCAGCCCAAAAAGCCTGGCACCATCGGCACTATGCCGGGCGGGTAGAGAAACCATTGGTCAGTTTCTCGAGCGAGGCAGGGCCTAAACCTCGCTCTTCTACTCCTCGCGAGGGTCGATCTCCGGTTGATCCCCTAGCAGAGTTACCCGTACGCACTCGAGAACCCTGACGCTGGTGTCCCTACCATCAGGTGACTACGCATGACGCCTCCGAGTGTCGTGCGGTGCGAGAAGGTAATCAGTGCACCCGGTGTGGCCGCCGAGGGCATGTGGCTGGGCGGTGCTTTTTCAGAACTGTAGGGCACCGCCCGACAGAACACAACTGCAACACCCACTGCCAGGGACAATGATGATGCGGGCGCCGAGGGGAGCGACAATTCCACGGAACCGGAGCTTCCCGAGGCACAGATTCAGGCGCTGTTGAATTGTGTGGTTGCTGGGACTAAGGTCTTGGCCTTTCTTGACTCGGGAAGTGAGGCAACGGTGGTGAAGGAGTCTTGTTTCAGGAGGATTTCCAACACCCCGCTCTCACTGCACCCACGCGCCTTAGGGGGCATCTGGGGCCGCACGGGACATCAAGGGCAGAGCAACCCTTGAGTTTAAATTTTCCCGAGCTTGTTAGTGCCAGCACTCAGTGTTCGTGGTGAACGACGACACTAGGTTTCCAGCAGAGGTGCTGATAGGCGTGGACCTGCTGCGGAGGTTTTAAGTTGAACCTCTCCCCTGTTTCAGGGGCCAGATCTGCTAGTTTTAATGGAGTCCGACTCGGGGTTTCGTTCTCGGGTGCCGGGTCCCTCGGCATCCTGACATACCACGAGCCAGAGGCCGTGCTACGTTGCTGTAGTACGAGCGGCGGAGACCGGGAAGGTGCGATGAGATGCGCGCGGAGAGATGCGCACGAATCGCCCCCTCGGGCGGGGGGATTCGTGCGATGCCTTGTGAACGGCTTGAAGGGCGGACTGGCTTGTGTTGATAGCGACACAGCCAAGGTCCTGGTACCTCGCTTGTTGGTGGACCTCTCCCAACCAGAGGTTGACGTTTGGGTCGTCAACGATCAGACAGTTCCGGTTGAGATCGAGCAAGGATTCGTCCTCTGCTATGCGGCGATCGTGGAGGTTTCACTTGATCGTCTCGAATACGACGCGGAATCCATGGACCAGGATTCCGGCGTCAACCCGGAAAATGTGGGCTTATCCTCCGGGGGAGCTTTAGACATGGCTTCTTCGACTCCCATCGATGATGGAAGCGAACCGGATAGTCTGATGGCGGACTTGGAGGACAGGTTTGATTTTGTACACGGACTCAATGATTTTGGCTATAACACGGACGAGTTTGAGGTTTTCCCGGTATGTTCTTTCGAGAACGAGGAACTCCCCTCATCAGTAGGGGCAGTTGGTGTTCGCCGGGTGGA